GTGACTGAGTCTCTCGTGAATAGTCATTTGAGACAGGGTTCTCAATGACCGCGCTAGTCATACTAGGTTGATGATGAAACATCGCTCTAGATATTAGCCAGCGGGAGTACTTCCACGCTACTAGATCCAGGAGACAAACCTTCCACGCGTTCCGTTTTAGGATCGTGGAGAGACGTAGGTTACTACCACAACCTACTCTATCACACTTTATAGTCTCCCGCGGGAAGCCAGATCTACGATCCCTGATGAAGATCTCTCTCGTGATTAGTTTTCATAGCTTTCTAATCTCTCTCATAACTTCATTCCTTCAAACTCAAACACTCGAAAGATCTTTACACTAGCTTTTAGCGTAGTGCATTTTGTTAACAAACACAATAGCTTTCAGCTACCCTCAAACTATTCCTTCACCATGAAGATGGCTCAAAGAAAGCATGCGTTCCGCACTTCGGAAACAGTTGCGTGACAACCCATTCTTCCTCTCGTCGACAATGACGAAGAAAACGAGATCGACGATACTCGGCAACCACTTGCAAACTCGCAACCATGTTGCCAAGCCAAATCAGAAGACTCTGACAATAGGACAACTCCTCTATCAATTTCAATCACTTGGATGGAGAAACTCTATCTGAGGATTAGGCCAGATGATGATTTAACGGAACCATGTTCCGATTTCTCATACCAAAGTGATGAAGATATCTCACTAACTAGTAAACAAGAATTGTTGCAACTGATGAACTCTACGGCAAATTAATGATTCCTAGAAGCTGCTCAACTAGACTCTGATGATCTATTTAGCATCGTTAACCTCGTCCGTGGCCAACCACCTTGAACGTCGCAAACAAGAGACCTCAAACCATCGTCTATGTTAGATTTAACAAGCGAGAAAAAGGGAAACCAAAACCCGTTAACTCCGTTGCTTCTGGATACAGGACATCCGGAACCTTGATTGCTCAACCTCATGTAAGAAATTACGCAGAAGGATCTTGGGGGCGTCCAAACGATGTGGACTACCCCTGCAGGAGAATTAAACACCAGCACGAAGTGCAAAGTGCATTATGATTCCTGAATTCCACGAAGATAGAATCATCGAGTGGATTTACACGTCACCAAGAGCTTGGGGGCGTATGACATATCATAGGTCGAGACATTCTCTCTGATCTAGGATTCAAGTTCGATTTCACTACCATGTCAGTGGAATGGGACGGCGCATCTATTCCTATGAAAGACAGCGACAACAATGAAGAATAGAACTTCTTCATTCCTGATCTACGTGTTGATGACAGTGCAAATCGTCTCAAGAAGATTCTTGATGCGAAATACAACAAGCTGACTTAAGGCAGGTTTGCCAAAGTCAAGATCAGTTAAACACGGAAGAGAAGGAACAGCTTCATTCCTTACTGATGAAGTACTCTGACCTTTTGATGGTACTTTAGGAAAGTGGCAGATGGACGACCATGAGTCGAACTCAAACCCTATCTAGGATCGAGTCGCGAATAAGGCTAAGAGCCGTGTATTGCACCAACGCTGTCTGAATTCGTTGCTGGGGCTTTTCTTGCTTTTTGGTTGACCTCTCTTGGACGTACAGGCTGTATCGGTTCTATTGACGCAAACGCAAGCACGGTCCCGCTAGGACATTCGAATAAGAACTACGACATCAGGACTAAAAGCGTTAATGTACTCAGAAACGACTTAGAGGACTACTTCCCTGGCTCCCAGCCACTCCTCGTTTTCATTATTTCGATCTAATCTATTGACTCTATCAATATGATGCTACTAGTATCTCCTCTTCTTTACAGCGGCTACTCCTCTTAACAAGCGCTACTACTACTCACCATGACAGGCTCCTCTTGGTTGGTTGGTAGCGGCAACCGTTCGACGATCGGTCGTTGACTGCTTCCGTTCGATAGATCGGCCGACGGAGCGATGACTTCTTTCTTCCACGGAGCCTCATCATGGAGCGACCATGACGCCTCTTCTTCCACCGAGCGACGACACCTCTACGGTTATGCAACAACAAGCGACTACTACTACTACTAGAACAACAAGCGATGGCAACAAGCGTCCTCCGTTCGAAGGATCAATTCGGTCTTCTTCCTGCTTCCACCGAGCAACCATGATGATTGCTCCACGAACCTTTGGATGGTTGCTCCAGTCTTCATGGAAAGCCACCCAGTCCTCTACTTGATTCTACAGTACAGATTGAGTGCTGAGAGTGAGGACAGGAGCACCTTTCCCATGGAGAAATGCATGGCAGAATGACAACAAAATGGAATCCAAGCCTGATTTTTTATAGAGGCTCCATAGGAAACCTTAGAGTTGATTGACTCTTTTCAAGGGGAGTGTCTGTGAGTGTGTTGGGGAGCTACTCCTAGAAAAGAGTCAATCAGATCAATGTATTGGTAAAGCTAATGGCCATTTGGTCAACATTATTGCCATTGTGGTAAAATTCATTTTATTTCTTTAATCTTTGTTATTCTCTGTTAGTAGTTGCCAACCAGCCATTTCGCGAAACGAGAACTTCTGTTTTGTTTTTTACGTAACTGAAAATTAACCGTAAAATCGAGTCTTGGAAATGTCAAATGAATCCAGCGTCGAGGCAGCATTTGGGATCATGGCAGCTGCCTCGAAGCTTCCTTCGGTTCATCCACAGAAAAAACAGCCCGCTCTGCTGCTTTGTGAGAACCGAGCGTCATTCATGACACGTATGGTTAGGCCATTCTTAGTACGCAATGTGGGTAGGTTGGACCAAATTAAATAATGATCTAGGTTCTTTACTTATTTATTATCGCTGTTTCATTCCCCAGCATCAACCATTCAAGACAAATGACTGACATTTGCAATTGCATGATAATGGGACGACGTTCCTTTACCGGTCATTCGCGGGAACACCTGGTGAAGGTGTCATAATGAATAATGCTAGTCCTGAATTTTGTTTAAGAGACACCCGCAGCGACCAGAACATTGTACTAGTTGCCGTAAGTGAATTGGCGACGCCACAGCAAGACAGCTTTTGAATAATAGTTCGGGTAAAACATTATAAAAGCAACTTTCCATTTTACCTTATCTACTAATACCTTATTGATAAAGCTACCGGTAAGTAAGTAGTGGTAAAACCTGCAATTGCCAGTCTTTTTGAAAGCGAACATCTAGCTAGTGGTACGGTACCGTAGAAAGGTTACCAGTAGCTTCGTACGGTAGCTAAGAATTTGGGAGGGAAGCACCTCCTCCGCTTCATTCATCCTTCCCTCCACCAGAACAAGCGCCAACAAGAGTGATCAAGAGCCAAGAGCACTGCAGTACATGTACAGTATACAATACTGCAGTAAACACAAGAAGCCCCACAACAGCTACATTGATTGAGCTGAGCAGACAGACCGTCTCTCGCTTTCTCTTCATTCATTCACTCACTGCTGTATACCCCCAGTTATTAGAGCTCCATTAAGCTCGTATACCCATACTATTATACCCATTCTATTATACCCTTGGTTAATAGAAAGAAGGAAAGATGAGTGCCGTGGAACGCTGTTCGATTGCGTCGTCCATTACAACGTGTGCTTCTACGCGATGCTCTACTACATCTACTTCTACTTCTACAAGTACTTCAGTAATAACGGCACATGACTTGGTGGTGTCGTTAGAAGAACTGCTGTTGCAATTGGAACACATCCAACGGCAAGTGCCTGGCTTTGAAGAAGCCGCGGGTCAGTTTGACTTTTGCGGACGATGGGATCGATTGCACAAACACACGAGTCGCTTGTCCGAGTGTACGTCCATGAGTCGGGACGATGAGGACACGCTACTGCTGGCAACCGACTTTGAGCAAATCAAGGAACTCGTGTGCGACTGTCGATCGTTTCTCGAGACGTTGGAAGACGCCAAGATTGCCCCACGGCATCGGTGGCAGAAATGGTGGGACAAACAACAGAGTGGCAAATACCAACGACCGCTCGAAGCACTCTCCAATCGACTCAACGAAGTCATTGTCACGCATGTGCATCATGTCTGGGACATGGTGCCATTACAAGTCGAACACGACACTGATAGTACTTCAACAGCTACGCTGTCTCATTTTCCATTCACCATGGACCAAATGGGACTCACGGCTCCGGTTCAGTCGGAACACGAGGAATTGACCGGATGGCACGGCAAAGGCTGCGATAAGCTCAGTTTCAGTCAACGACTTTCTACCAGTATGAGGAGTACCGCCAGTACGGCCAGTACTGTCAGTATGGATTCTTCTATGCGTTCCTACTCGACTCACAACAATAGCAACAACAACAACAACAACAATGGCAGCAGTAGCAACTGGACGGATAGCGCATCCAATAACAATCAAGATTTGCTGTGGGACTTTTCGCCACGACCACTGCCACCGAGTGGATGGGGTAGCAACGGCGGCGCTCCGAAAACGCGACGCGACTTGCAAGAACAATACGTGCAAACCCAACGATTGCGCGAACTATCCCAAGATATTCCCGTGCAACAGATTCGCGTCGTATTGGCACAACTCGAAGCCGGGGATACCAGTCCTACCATTGTCACGGCCAAAACGGCCATGATGACGCTCGGCTACTTTGGTGCATTAATGGTATCGCCCCTCGCCATGACGTTTGGATTGACACCGCAAGAAGCCATTCACGAAACACCCCTCGAAGCTGCCGCCGTCTTTTCCCATTACTTGCTGGAGTTTGAACTCGCTGATAAAGACGGGACCATAGCGACACTGGAGAATTGTGTCAATGACATTTACTTGTATGAAGGACGATCCACACGGGCCCAACAGCACGTCGTTACTACCATTCCCATGTTGCCGGGCGCCATTGGGGCACCCAACTCGGTCACACGGCCGTTACTATTGAGAGATCTCATTCGATTTCGCAATCAACAACGGCAACAACCGTATCGATTGTTTGAAAACAATTGCAAACACTTTTGTGTCCACGCATTGACAGGAGGAGACTTGTTCCCCAAAGCCACCAATGTCGATCGAACCAATCTCGAAGTGTTTTATCAACTCTGTCAAGGATGTTATGTTCAAGAAGAATGTTTTGACTTGTTTACCGATCCGCGCATGCCACTGTTGCCGGAAGAAGACGAAGCAGAACAAGAACCGCCTCCAATGGACGATTCTTCCTCGAAACGACGACGACGACGCATGTCGGGGGTCGATGTACGAGGCTTGTCCGAACGAGATCTCATGATGGACGATTCGTCGCGACGACGACAACAACTCATGATGGATGACTCATCGCGACGACGACGACCCGTCAGTATCGTACAAATGAGTATTGATTTTGAATGGTAAATACAATGATCAATAAATACAATGCATAAAGAAGTATATAGATAGCCATCATCCATGTACATGTACTACTATACATACTGTACTGCTCAAGAAGTATTCTTGTGTATGCACCCATCACATAGT